ATGAGAAATAAAGTTATAATATAAAGAGATGAAAGTCGTAAGTTAAGATAAATAAAGTCATAATATTACAAGAATAAAGTTCATCAAGACAACACAGGGTACTGACCACGTGGGGTTGTTTGGAGGCTTTGGCCACAGCATCACCTCTCTCACTGTAATATCTAAAAAACAGGGGAAGAGAAGTGTCACTCATTTTGAACAGTCTTCAGTGACAAATACTATTCAACATGCTTTAAAATCCCTCTGAGGTCCTCACTAAATGTGAAAATGTGGGATTCCAAAACAAAATCTCAAAAAACCTTCATTTAAGTTCTGGTTACAGCGAGAAAATGTAAAACTTGTGTTTTTGAATTGCATCATTTGGTTCCTGCTGAATAAAATGCTCACTCCATCACAGTCAACCTTTAGTGCGCCTCTTTTTTCTCTCTGCATAGCACGACACATTGTTAAGGTGGTAAAACATCAAACTCACATTGATTGCTTTGCTTATCAACACCCTAATTTATCTGTGATTCCACAGCAGTATGCAGTAATTCCCTTAGTGTGTGAGGTGGTGCAGTGGTAATGATAGGGTGCTGGGGGACCTGTGTCCCTTCAAAGAGCCAATATTCATATCACTGCTCACTGTAGTTCAAACCCATTTCACAAATGAGTGAGGTAAATTAGGAAAAAGCCCTGTAGGTCCACAGAGGTTCAGTTATTGCCTGGAAGGTCCAGGATTTGTTTGCATTTGTTTGCTTGACAGTTGTCAGGATTATGCAAAAACCACAGAACAGATTTCCTTGAATGTTTGTGAAGTGGTGGGGCATGACCTACAGGACAACACCTGCAAATCTGGTTACACTTTCCCTGATTTCTCAGAAAAGAAATCATGGACATGACTGAAAAATCCACTTAAGGTACTGATATTTATGAGTGTGTAATGTGATGCAGATCCAAATAAAAATCCAGATTTTAAATTTAAATGTGGTTTCATAAGGAGCCTGTTGGACATTAGCAGAGGTATGAACTCTACACACTGCCCTTTTAGTGATTATTATTATTAATATTATTATTATTGTTAATACAAGCAACACCTCTTTAGCATTGTGTGGGCCTGTACTTTCCAGGAGTGACTAATGGCTCAGACCTGTTGGGACATGACACTGCACAAAGTTAAAATACCTCGAAGTAAATGGTCTGAATGATCTCAGCATCACATGTCAAAAGAGCTCTGATCAGCAAAAACACAGACGACACCAGTGTGTGGACGAGGGAGGACTGGGACTTCACACGTTACAGCCACTGCATCTAAAACTGCTGCTGTTAAGTAGCTGTTTTAATGTGGTGGTGGGGGGGGGGCTCTTACTTTGAAATCTGAGTTTGGAATCCCTCGATCTTGGTGCGTGTGTTGGTGAGCAGCTCAAACACTTTCTCCTGTTGGATTAAAAAGCAAAGCTGTTACTATAGAAACCAAGTCGGCTTCTTTTCACCAAAAAGATCGACATCAATCAGGAAAATGCACAAACACACGAGACGTGACGTCGTTCTACTGCATCACTGTAATAATCAGCACTGACCTGCACAGCCACTCCAAAGTTGTTCCCGTCTTCAATTTTAGGGATTTGGAGTTGCACCCACATTGACACCTTCCAGAGATAAAAACATCAAGATATATAAGAGGTCCTGTAGTAAAAGCTTCATACAGCTCCATTTAAAACTCTTTATCCCACTGAAACACGGGGCCTGAGCTCCTGTCTTTGTTACTTTAAATCATCTTGATTTTCTTTGTTCAAAATGACTCATCAAGTGACTGACCGTGTTGAGCTTCTCCTTCAGTGTCTGGATCTCAGGCTTGACCGCCTGCAGGAGACTCTGCACTCGCCCATTGATGCAGATGGGACCACAGGGAGGCTCTGAAGGGGAAAAAAAACACCCCGGTACATAAACTCACTTTAGCTGCTTTCAGACATGCACTGAACTGCAGACATTTTCCAGAACTTGTCCCACAAAGATGAAATGTCCAAGTGAATCTCTGAGAAACATTCCCAGCGAGTGAGTGGACGACTGGATTCTAATATGTAAGAGACGCAAAACTGAAAAAACCCCAAAATGAAGTATCTCGGGATGAAAAAGATGTACACATGTAGAAGATTTTTTTTCCCCCATTTTATAAGGGCTAACAATGTATAAGTGTAAATGTGCCGTAAACAAAAACCCTTATTTCCGCAGCAGGATTAATACATATTACATGATCTACTCAGTCGTCACGTCAAATTATTATTGTCAAATGTAGTAGTCTAGATTTGACAATGTTTGCAAAGGTTAAGAATTATTTCAATGAGTTGTAATCTTTAATATTTAAACAAAACACAAGATCATGCTTATGGTATACTACATTTTACAGAACAACTTCATTTTATAAAACAACTCCAGTTATTAGATCATTTTATCATCAGTGCAGGTTGCATCACACAGAATCTGTGGACATTGTGACAATGACAGGTGACTTATAAATAAAACACTAATCTTATAAATATCCTATTTTATTTATAAATACTCCTAATCCCTTCATATTCAACCAGCAGTTTGCTTTATCACCTCTCTCTCCCCATTTACCTGAATCTTCGTCTTCATCGCTGTCCTTATCTTTCTTCCCCTCCTTTGCCTTCGCCTGTGATGAAAGAACAAACGGCATCAGCTCATCGTTTCCGACTGATCTCTCAGGGAGCTCATACACCATTTTCGGGGCTGGTTTAATGTATTTTTTTTAAATAAACGAAAGTATCCGATCATAGAAGTTCCTTCTCTGATCACGCAGCGTCTGAAACCTGTTCCTGTATGAGCCCAAATATTCTTCCAACTAATTTCCACATAGTAAAAACCAGGACTGTGGAAATCTTTAGGAAACACATTTATACCATCTGATATATCGGTAATAATGATTATGATTTGGATTTTGTGAATGACAGTTTGTAGAACATTTCTGTCTACATAGTTCAAGATGGTGATAAACTCCTTGGTGGAGTTATCCTCTCTACTTGAATTTATTATTACCACTTGATTCACACAGCAGAGCTTCAACATCACACAGTGTGGGACCTACCTCCTCCTTCTTCTTCTTGCGTTTGGCCTCCTCTTTCACAGGGTCAGGCATCGGGATGTCCAGCGGAGCCTTTAAGGACTCTGGGTCGGCATGGCAGGAAGAACTCTGGCAGCAAAAACACAAGAGATAAATGTCCTGACGTGTCTTTGATTAGAAACAGAGATTTATCACAACAGGGACTTTCTTAATGTATGTGAAGGCTAACACGACTGTCAGGTTTCCTGTTTCCTTATCATTCAAATTCTTGCGCCCATCTTTGGTCACAATTCGTGGGCATTAGCTGCCTACAACTCTCGCAAACTTCAAAGTTAAGCCCCTGAAGACTTTCAACACACAGCTACCTTCAGTAGTGTCTGGAGCTCTTCAATCTTCTGAGGGAAATAAACTGCAACCAGCTGCTCTGCCTGGAGGAAAACCAAATAGAATTATCATGTCAGACAGCTGAAGGAGAAACGATTGATTTAATGAAGCAGTTGGAATATTTTTCTGGAAAAATTACCTCTTTGGTGAGTTTCTGGCAGAAATCATCCACCTGCAAATCAAGAGACAGGCTGAGAATTTTCATCTGTATAAAACAGACACCTAAAGCTTACAATTGTGAAAATGAATAAATATCTGACACTTATAACGACTGACTGATGTTCAGAAATTAAGTCATTGGAAGTGTACTATTAATGTGTTTTATTTTTCATAGCAGATGGGAGGAACATTTTTGTCCTTAACATATAATGAGGGAGTTTTTAGTGATGTGACACAATGATGCAAAAACCTGAATGCTGGTGCTACTCAGTGATAAACCCGGACTGAGTGGCTTTAAAATAAATCCCACTAACATGTAGTATATGGAAAATAAATAAATAAATAACTTAACTAAGTGTGTGTGCATATTTCATTTCCATTTTAAAACCCAAACAAAACTATCTAAGCAAAATGACACTTATTCTGAAAATGAATAAATATTTGAGTGAAAGAATCAAGTCATTGAACGTGTCATATGGAATTACTTTATAATATTTTCCATTTTAATTTGTAATAATAATGATAACTTTAGTATAATGTGAAATTCACAGAGTCAAAAGAATAAAGATGCAGTTAATATAAGTCATCATGTGATTAAAGCTGAATCTGCTTGTCTGAACTCTTCTGCTTCCATTTTGTCCTCAACATCACCAGAGGAAGTGTTTTTAAAAGTGGTGCATCTTTAAATGGAATGAAAATGATTCAGTCATCCACACAGTGAATATAAGACACATTCTTCTCTCTGTTAAACTAATATATGTCTAATTCTGAGTCTGGTAATTATACATGAACGTGTTTTTTATATTTAGAACACAAAAACGAAGAGCAGACACTTTGGATTTTGAAACCAGCTCTTCAGCCTGCTGTGAAAACAATAGAAATGTTATGTAATGTTATGAAACACGTTTCAGATCAATGTGAAAGGATTGAGCTCTCGTTAGAAAAGAGTTCGGTGAGCTGACCTCTAACCTGCTCAGCTCAGGGCTCTGGATGACACATGGATTTACAAGACTCCATGTAATGCAGGTTCAACTCCCCTCACCTGTTTCTTTGACGCCAGTGGAATATCCTTAGCAGCCATGTTGTGTCTCCACGTGAACTCTCAAGTTTAAATAAAGTTTTGAAGCCTGAAATCTAATCTGGAGGAAAGAATATGTAGAATTCTTTACTCGACTCGACACAAAGAAGCTGCTGCGCATCAAAAGCGAAAATGAAAGTAAAACGCATTTAAGACAGTTCCGTACTTTCCCGTTTGGGAAGTGGCTTTTGCTGCATTGTGGGACTTGTAGTTTTTTATTTTCAATTCCTGTAACCAGAGCCACTGATGAGAAATGCTGATGGATGGACTTCAGATGTGAACAGTCTGTCTGATCTGTTTCTGAACATGCACATGTATAAATATAAAACATGTATGATATGCTGCACATGTATGAATCAAATGTGCATCATATTAACTTTATCTTGTTATTTGTTACTATATTTCTTCATTTTTTAGTTGTCATTATCATTATTATTATTATTATTATTAGTAGTAGTAGTAGTATTTGTAGTAGTCGTAGTATTTTTGTTTGCATGTTGTACAAGCACTCTTGTTTTATTTACAGTGTGTAGTAGGGTAGCTATTGAAAGCCCTATCACACAGTCATACATGCATATTCCAAAGATCATAATCCACAACTCACGACTCTCAACAATTTATAAATCAATCAATTCTCACAAGTAATCGCTCACATGTAAAAAAACAACTTCTCCTGTAGGTTCTAAGATTGTCCACTAGGTGGTGCTGCTGCTCTGGACTAAATAAAGCAGACTGTCCTGCTGCAAAAATACAGGAAATAGATAATGATTGACAGCAGCTGAGTCAACTTGTTGAAACTGTGTTAGTGCAGATGTAGATTAAAAGATGCAGAATAAAGGGAGATCTCATAGAAAAAAAGTCTCAATGTGTATTATTGGGTTGAAAACTTACTCCAGATGAAGTAGTTTCTGGGAATTGTATTGTTTTTCCCATATTCTCAGGGTCAGACACTAATAAAGGCTTTGGGACAAACCTAACTATGTATTTGGGGCAGATAGATTTTATTTCAAAGAGCAACAATAGGCAATTTCTGCTCATTGTCATGTCTGTGTGGGATCAAATATCACAGTCATGATCACACTGCCAGTTACGGTGACTACAGTTGCCTTTCTGTGTGTTTTGTCTGAGGGGACGATCACACAACCTCTGCTTTAGGTGACTATTGATCAGAGCTGGGGGCCAAAGTGCGTCTTGCTCTTACACTCCAGATTTTCAGGGACCTCTGATGTCGTATGGAGCCTTTAATCAGGAGCCGTGTGGACAGAGCCGGTCTGACACAGTCGGGTAAAAGCCTTAAACAAATAAAGGATCCTGAGTGGACAGAAAGGACGTCAGAGCCTCCCAGTGTAAACACAGCACTGATCATCTCACTGTTACATACAATCATTATACCAACACACTTTAATCCCATCGGGAGATGTACAGATATAGATTTAATCACTGGGCTGGTATTTACTGAATGTATTATCCTGATTATCCTAAATACTTTCCTTTTAACCTTTTAAAATCTGCCCAAAATGAATAGAGAATATTTCTGCAACTACAGGGTCTATATGAATAAGCTTGGTCTCTACATAAAGGTAAAACAAAGGTGTAAGCATCAGTAAAGATGTTACAGGGTCAGAGTAAATGTAGAGGAACACAAAATATCTAAAGGTTTCATATTTTCTTAAAGAAAAATGTGAAATCTCTGAAATTGTGCAGGTGAAGCCAAAAATCATTTAATCCGTATCACAGTAACTGAACACTGTGTGTAATCTGCAGCAGAGCAACTTTCAACCACCACAATAATACGACACCTGGGTTGAACCCTGGTTGGACCCGAAGGGCAAAGGCTCATTTACCACGTGAGCGCCATTAGTTATTGATTCTGTGATTTGATTATGTGAGCGATCAAAAACTCTGCCCTGTTATTCGGTTCAGGCCGTCGATAAACACAGAGGACAAAGGTCAGGAGTGTGAGGGAACGTGGGGCAGGGAGAGGTGGGGGGGGCGGAGAGAGCGAAAAAACCAAGTTTCGGATTTGTGAACACGTCAGTAAATTATCTTGTTGTTTGTGTTTTAACAGGATTTCATCACAACCCTCCCACTGTTGCACACTAACCACATTAAGTGAATAGATCAAAAGTATATTGATATACGATGCTCGCAAGATAATTAATAACTCACTTTAGTAAACTTGTCGAGAGTTTACAGTCTTTATCGTCTATACCACAGTGTTTTATCATTGAAATGCATATTTACAGACAAATCATATATAATGTTGACAACAATATCTTTTCATTTCCTTGTGATGTGTTTGATGTGTAGTTTTAATCTTAATCTTAATCTTTTAAGGCTGCACAGTCTGAGAGAAAAGTGTAACCAGTTACATCATCTTCAGTAAAGAAGCTTTGTCCGTTGTCCCTGTTGAGACTTTGCCTGCAGCGTGCCGCTGTCTCACAGTGTATCGTTATTTTGATTTGTCATGTGAGAACACATGTAGCATTGTGTTTCTGAGCGTCCGATACGCTGATCATGTACCTACTGTCACAGCTAATAGAAACTATACATGCAAAAATGAGAACTGAGAGACTTTAGATTTTCAAAGTAAGATTCTTTCAACAGTTCAGTGGCCTGATTACACTTAATTAAAACTGGTGTTTTAACTTCACCATTAGGTTACCATGGACGAACTACATGCTGGGTTGAGATGGGTTGGTGGTTTAACCCAGTTAGATGTAATGTCACATTTTCTACACAAGTTTTGGTTCATATCAACTCAAATGTTGGGTTCATTCTACCTATATTTTTTGTTTTATTATAATAAAATCTTTGCTCACACAACATTCACACAGGAAAGCTGGCAGAGGCAATGTGGGGTTCAGTGACTTGCCCAAGGACACTATGTCAAACAGACTGCAGGATGCAAAGGATCGCACCACAGACTGTCTGGTGAATGGACGACCCGCTCAACCTCCTGAGCCACACACACATGAACAGAACTACTCAGATATACTGGTCTCTCTAGATTACAGTCATACAAACCACACTAATAACACAACACAGTAGACAATGCACTTCTAAACATGCTGGAAGAGTTGAACAGTTTGTATTAACTCAGCGGATCGGTAGATATGTGCATTTGGAGCAGTTATCTCTATGACGTGTCATACGTCACCATAGGGCAAACCCCACCTGCTGAGCCAGCAGCTGGGTTACTCAAAAACAGCCACCTCCCTTCAAATAACCCAGAAGAATGGTCCAACAGCCTTGAGCCAGCCTTTGGGTGGATAGAACAACCCAGTATTTTTCTGTGTCTGACGTGAATAAAATAGCTTTGAATTCAGTTTTTTTTTTGTTTTTCAGAGATATATCATTTTCTTCAATGCATTGTAGGGAATTACCAAAGAATAGTATGGATGACCTGTCATTGTGGCATTTAACAGACAAATCAGATTCTTGTAAAAGCCACTAACCACAGCTGTGTACACTGGAACTGAAATGACAGGACACAGTTAAATGACTAAAGATGTCTCCTTCCCTCTTTGCTACATTCGTGAATGTTTCAATGTCACCTGAATGTGTGTGTGTGTGTGTGTGTATGTGTACGTGCACAGAGTCTGCCTATCATCAGAGACCATGAGACAGGAGGGCTGAAGTTTAACCAGACATGTTGGACTGTTGTATCTCTCTTTATCTCCACAGTATAATCCTCTGTCCGACCCGCCTGCCTCTACTTCCCCTCTGCCTCACTACAGTGTGTGTGTGTGTGTGTGTGTGTGTGTGTGTGTGTGACCCCTCTCTTATTTCCCAGAGAGAAACATTAACAGTAAATCCACCATTTAAAAATCACATAAAGACACACTTGTTTGTCCTGTGCAGTTAGAAGATCAGGTTCAGACCTCCTCCTGGCTCAGGTCTGAAAATCAAACTATTTCACTCATGCAACAGGTTGATCAGTGAAAGACTAAACAACTACACTAAACTTATAACGATAAACCATCAGAGAGAAACACTGCAGCCTCCAGGACCCTGAACTGAACCCAACTCTGACCCAAGAGGGACCTGCTGTGAATCTGAGCTCTGGTAATCAAACATTAAAACTTCCTACACGTCAAACTTCAGCTCCACTTTGAGTTAGATAATATTTAGCATGTTGTTTTCAAGTTTTCATTCTTCACCATTTCCTTTTGCTATCACAGTGTGCAGACAGAGTGCAGAGCGTATACTGAGGCATTCCTCATGACAGTCAATTAATCATTAATGAATTAATCAACAAAAACAATCAGGTCAATAGCTACTGAAAACAACCGTTACATCTGCCCTGTAACGACAGGGACCTGTAAGATTTTACCATAAAGTGGCTTTGTGATAAAAGTCATCTATTCAGTGTAGACAAGCACTTTGTTTCTAAGTTTAAATACAACAAATGGAAAATTATTTGGAAACTTTATACTGTTGAACCTCAAAGTGAAGGCAGGTATAAAGAAGTAACCCTTTAACAAGACATTTACTCTGCACTCTGCCACTAGAAACATTTGATTCTCCCGTTCTCCTGGTTTTATTTTGGTAACTTTATTCATCAGTCAAATACATGCAGAAGAAGAGAAGGAAGAAAGTGAGTGAATTCATGAGACAGATAAACATTGAGAATAAGTAAGGATAGAGATTGGAGCCATCCTGTAGTTTCAGTGCACAAATTAAAGGGCCATTAAATGAATAAATGATGTAATCCTGGAGATGTCACCAGGGCTCATCTCAGGTTGGACTCTGAAACATAAAATATAGTTTGTTAAATTATATTTTTATTAAATGAGTTAACGTAGAGCTTCAGTTAAGCAACATCAACCTCCCACTGTGGAGATCCTAAAATGTAACCATACACTATTTATAAAGATGGACGTCACGTCTCCACTTCTTCACACTACAATGAAGCTAATATACCTGGGAGACGGATTTTCCCATCTTGTATCCGAATGCGAAACACAGGTCGACTGGACTCAGTTTAGTTTCACTTCTCATCAGAGAGGCTTCTCCAGTTCTAACTGACTGCTGGGAGTCCCAGGTATTTAACTTTTGGGTCTTTAGGAGTCGTTGAGGTTACTTGAGAGGACGGACCCACCCCGCTGTTGGTTTCACTGGGAGTCCTGGGTCTTTGTGAGTCATGTCCTAATATGTGAATTGCAGTGAAACTTAGTGTGGCTGGGAGCCAAGACGGAATGATGCGAAGACAACAATGTCCACATTTTGGCCAGAGAAGACAGATGAAAGAAAATTGTAAAATAATGAATGAAGATATAATTTGTGAGAAATATATAGATAACATAAAACACATAATGATAGTAAAGTGAATAACAAAACCAGCTACAGGAAAGTGAGGACAAGTAAATTAAATTTTTTCCTAGAATGAAAAAGTAAAAGCATGTGTAGTTTTCTCCTCTGAGTGTGTGTTCCTGTATGTATACGTCTGTGAGCACCATTTTAAGCAGGGACCCTACAGAGTGAGGACATTTTGACTGGTCCTCACTTTTCCAATGTGCAGTTTGAGAGTTAAGATTAGGTTTACAGATACGTGCGTGCGTGCATGTGTGTGTGTGTGTGTGTGTGTGTGTGTGTGTGTGTGTGTGTGCGTGTGTTTGTGTACGTGTACGTGTCTGCGTGTGTGTTCATGTGAGCAACAACAGGCGGTTTCCGTCGTACTCGTGTTTCCGGGTTGGGTCTCCTCCTCCTCCCGGTGGAACTTGCATCAGCCCGCCGGTTCCACAGCGACATGACGGAACATCGGAGGCGGTGGAGGAGCAGAGGACCGGGGGGCATATGTTGTTCTAGAGCCGGTGACCGTGTGAGGAGGGACCAGTAAACAGATGTGTGCTCATCCAGGTGTTTGACTGTGAACAAAGTGCAAAGTACACACACACACACACGCACACTGTCCCTGTTTGCATCTCTCACATGAGCCTTTTTCACGCTCTCCGGTTTTTACAAGCTCGTTTCTGGTTTTGATTTTTGCACCGATCATGTCGTCTCTTCTGCTGGGAGTCATACGGAGGTGAGTAACTCTGACTCTCTTCTCATCCAGTGTCTTAAACTGAATTAGCCTCGTGAGCTGAACTTTATTTCATTTAAAACTCACTCACTGCAGCCCAGCTAATGCTAAGAGCCTATTAATGCTGCAGCTCAATCTGTTTACCTGTAATTCAATCAAACATATCCCCATGTGCTTTTACCTGCATTGTTTGTAATGTCTTATTTCTAAACTTTAAAGAACACAAATACTTTTCAGACATGTATGCATGTTTAATGTTATCGTTTAAAATGAACCCATCGAAGAGGAAACTGGTTTCTTTCATGTTTTGTGAGCTGACCACAGAATTACATCCACTTTCTACCATAGGTCAATTTCCATATATAGATAAATAAGATACAGACACTGAAAGAACAACATGTGACTTTTGGCTGCAGTCCAGAATTCATCTATCATGCTTTTATTTTGAAAGAGAAACTTTTTTAAAGGTTTTATTTTGACAATTTAGTCGATTAGAAAGACATGTAGTTGTCTTCACATTAAACTACACGTAAGCAGATGTGTTATCTTAATAGTGCACCCACCACACTCATAACTCCTCCTCCTTCTCCTATTTCTATGAGAAGCATTAGTGTGAGTTAAGTGTGTGTGCTTTTATTTACTCATTAAAGCCACGTGTGACTGACAGACACTACGGTGGGACATGTGAGTTACAGTCAGGATTTTCCTGTGCATTGTGTTTGGACTTCTGCCAGAAAGATTAATGCCTGGAGTCATCACTCCTGTTTGTGTGAATACCCCTGAGCATGTTTTCTGTGTTTCTTTATTCTGTAACTCCCCCTCCCCCTGTACTGGCTCTGTGAGGTGAATGCATGCAGCACGTGTGCATGCACTCCAGCTTGTATCTGCTCCATGTGTAGACTCTGCACCTAAAGGGGCTATTGACGAGGATCCATAAGGGCCCTGGAGGATGGTGGGGGGCAGTGTAGGCGTGTCGACCTGCGGTGTGTGAGGATTGGCTTGCACACTCGGAGGTGTGTGTAGAGGGAAAACCTGTTTGACGAGGAGGTTTAAGGGAGCAAAGGGACAGTCGGGAATGGACGTCTTAATTGTCTCCTCCTCTGGATCATGGAGCCTCTTCAAAAGAGAAAATGTCTCCTTTTAAGAAATAGAAGTTGGCTATAACGCATTTCAGTGCTGCAGAAAAGTTCCATTTCAAAGGCTTTCTTGGAAGTGTGTGCTCATGTATGGGGGATGGGGTGAGAAAAAGGGGAGACAGAGACGAAAAGGCTTCAGGAATGAATAACTGCAGGGGTCACCAGAGGCATTTCAGGTTTTCTAAAGAAGATTAAAAGAAGAAAGAAGAGGGGTTAACTCCACCCTGTTGCTTCTTCCTCCAGCTTCTCGCTCAAGTCAGCCGCTGCTCGATACATGGCTACATCCACACTTCTACATTTTTGCTCTCCTAAACATGTAATAAGTTATATTGTTGTAAAATGCCAACATCAACAGCTTTTAGCAAAGAACACGGTCATCAAGTTCGTTATTGTTTATCCATGTTGCCTTCTACACTGATAACAGAGGCTAATGCTGGTTGCTATCTTCCGGAAGGGGAGTCATGTGATAGGAGCCCAATGAATCAGTGAAGGCTACGTTGTGATCAAACAGATCCAATCAGAAGCAGTCGTTAGTGTCCACGTCATAGTTTCCAAACATTTCTGTTTCTGCTCATTCAGACCAAAACGCAGCCCCTGAGTTTTTAAACTAAAACAATGCCAGCGGCAGTTCCAAACTTTTTGGTTTAAGTAGCTTTAAAACTCCAGAGTAGTGCGGATGCCAGGCTTGTTCGCAACAGAGTTGATGTGTTTTCAAATGAAAATGTTGTAGTGTGGATCTAACCTCAGCCAACCAGTTAACAATTAACAGTTGATTCAATTCAAATTCAGTCCAGCTCGTCTTTTTTCTTAATCCCAGTCACACTGGAGATAATGTTCAGCACGAGTTTAATGGATACAGTAACTTGTTGCATGACAGTGTGGATGATCGGAAGCATAGGTAATTCATTTAGTGTGAAGCAGAATGGGACTTAAGGGCCGTAGAGCTTATTTTAAGGAGGCTGGTTCTGTTAATATCCCCATGGGGGGTGTGAAGTAATGAAAAGGGAAAGAGAAGTACAGCAGTAGATGGTGGTAATGCTCCTTGAGGTTGGTTTCCACCCTCCAATTAACTGAACAAAGAAGAAGAAGAAGCTGTGATACAGTAACTCTACTGTTCTCTCACTTCCAATGAATATCAATGAAGCATGTTTGATGGGTGCAGAGACACAACTCTCCCCCGACCTTTGCTCTACAGCACCACCACATTTGTTGTTCTGAGTTAAATATCTCAACCACTGTCTGATGAGCTGTGATTATATGTTTCAGATCTTCATGTTCTTTATTGCAGCCTCAGCTGGACACAGTGTTTAATGCTAGTTACCAAATGTTAGTGCTGCTAACATACACATTGGGAGCAATTTACAAGCACTGCGTCTCAAGCTACAATTCCAGAATAAGAGATTAGATGAGATTTGGTCAGAGCAAATAAATGATTTAACTTCCAGTGTCTGTCCATGTACTTTGATTCAGCATTTTAAACACAACTACAGTCTGCTCCCTTGTCAATGGTTAAACTCCCGGTGAGAGAGAGGGAGATGAGTTTGAACCCTTAACCTGGTATTAGACTGTTACACGTTATCTTCCGTGTGTGTGTGTGTGTGTGTGTGTGTGTGTGTGTGTGTGTGTGTGTGTGTGTGTGTGTGTGTGTGTGTGTGTGTGTGTGTGTGTGTGTGTGNGTGTGTGTGTGTGTGTGTGTGTGTGTGTGTGCACGTTGCACATATGATGTCACACTCAGTGCTAGCTAATCAGGAAGTGTATGCTTGCACTTGATTGGACGATTGATTTAAGGTCATCTGATGATAAAGAAGAAGAAAAATAAAGTGTGTGTGTGTATATATAATTATATAATCAGGATGGATGGATACACACACACACACACATTTTTTTTTTCTTCTGAAGCTGTCATCTGAGTTCACCCAGACTGCCCATAGACAGACAGACAAAGGAACAAAGGATCACATACACACACTGATTTTTCCGTTGTCAGAGCATTGTCGAGGCGAGACACAACACACACACCCTCACACAGGCTTGTGTTTTATCAGCTTCCATGGCAGTGGCCCTCTCAATGGCATGTTTTTGTGAATATCGTGCTGCTAACACACAATAGATGCCATGCACCCCCGAGTGCCCCTCTGAATGAGGAGAAATTAGTTTGATGGTCTCGGCCACAGTAACTAACTCAACACAATGGAGAGAAGATTAAATTGATGATTATTGTTATGTGTTTAATAGGTTTGTCTCTGTTGTTTTTGTGTTTTGAGGCAGCTACAGGGATTGTAATTGTATAATATTCTTGGGTGTGTATTTACTGTACATGTGGGTGTGTTTACAGTAACTGCTTCTCTTGTGCTTATCATGACCTCATCAACAAACCGTTTTCCCTCAGAGTCAAAAGCGTAACTTTCTTTCTCCTTTTTTCACAGACAGGGTGGCGTTGGGGCAAATGTCACAGTTCGGTCCCTGGCCTCACTTAACTCGCTGCCCCCGGCAGTGGCTGAGTTTGTCAAGGGGGCGGCAGAGGAGTGTAAGCCCACCGGTGTTCATGTGGTAACAGGGACACCCGAGGAAACGGCCAACATCCTCGCAGGTCTGGAGAAGGATGGGATGGTCAAGAAGCTTTCCAAATATGACAACTGGTAGGAGCTTTGCACAAGTGTACAGAATCAGGGGCACGTTGATTTTAGGTCTTATGTATTCTATTGTATTCTTATTTATTCTGCATCACACCATGATTTTTTTTCCCTCTGTCCCTCAGTTGGTTGGCACGTACAGACCCAAAAGACGTTGCTCGAGTGGAGAGCAAGACTGTGATCGTGACCAAGAACCAGAGGGACACCATCCCCATCCCTGCTGATGGCGTGAAGAGCCAGCTCGGCAGCTGGATGTGTGAGTCGGACTGGCAGAAAGCCAGAGTGGACAGATTCCCTGGCTGCATGGCAGGTATGTCGTTGGATAGCTGATCTGACTGTGTGTGGTCATTGAATTTAAACACTATCCAACTAGAATAAAATGTGATGTTTTAACTTACAAGCTGTGAACATTAGAAGCGCATTTTTCAGTTCCCCCAATCATGGGTGTGGTTGGATGAATTCTCTGTTCCACCTGTTACCACACCCAGTGGCTCGAAATGGCACAACTTTCCAGGTTGAACATGTTTGCTAGAGACAGGGTGCAATGGGCTCCGCGGTACGCTTTCTCTCGTTTGGTGGGTGCATTAGAAATGTTGGCCAGTCAGCAGTGACGTATAAACCCCAATATTAAAGAGGCCGTGCACACAAGTGAATCTTAAGTTTTCTATGAATGCGGGAGCTGCATCTTGTTCACTTTAATTGAAGATGTTGAAAGCCGCTAGTCAAGACGACAAAAGCAGACTGTAAAACTTGCAGTTGTCAAATTCTTACAGTATTTCTTGACTGGCTTCACTTCTTTCTTAGTGTATTGCTGCTTTTCTTTTATACTTTTGTGTCACCACCAACTCAGTGGGACAGCGTGAAATTTGTCTTGTTGTGCAAAGATAATCTGTATTCTGTTGTGTAAACTTCTCCTTTCCCTCTGCAGGTCGGACCATGTATGTGATTCCCTTCAGTATGGGTCCTGTTGGCTCCACTCTGAGTAAATATGGCGTCCAGGTAGAGTGACTGTGCTCCTTTCAAGACTTCATACAAATCAAAGCTTTGTTTCATTGCTGTACTTCATCATATATATTCTAATAGATGATTACAGTTAAATCCCAGGGTGTAAACGTTCTTCTTCACTTCCACTTCTTCAAGGTGACGGACTCGCCGTACGTCGTGGCCAGTATGGGGATCATGACACGCATGGGGACACCAGTCCTGAACAAATTGGCAGAAGGAGTGGAGTTTGTCCGCTGCCAGCACTCTCTAGGACGACCTTTACCACTCAAAGGTACAAATTTCAAGAGCCAGAAACAAGTTCTAGTCCTTTTTCAACTTAATACGATTCCTCAAGTTCTCCTTTCTTCCTGTTCTAGCCCCTCTGGTCAACTCGTGGCCCTGTAACCCAGAGAAGGTGCTGATATCTCACCTGCCGGACACCAGGCAGATTATGTCCTTCGGCAGTGGCTATGGAGGAAACTCTCTCTTGGGAAAGAAGTGCTTCGCCCTCCGCATTGCTTCCCGCATTGCCAAGGACGAGGGCTGGCTTGCAGAGCACATGCTGGTGAGGATGAAGGATGGAACTTCTGCTCTTTCTGTGCTTTTGAGGGATTGCATTCCATTAAATGTTTTTATTCTCGCTCCATCCACTTCAGATCCTGGGTATCACCAACCCCCAGGGAGTAAAGCGTTACGTAGCGGCGGCCTTCCCCAGCGCCTGCGGTAAAACCAACTTGGCCATGATGAAACCATCTTTGCCAGGCTGGAAGGTCGAGTGTGTGGGAGACGACATTGCGTGGATGAAGTTTGACAGCCAAGGTGAGAAGGAGGGGACTCGCTCTGTTGCTCCATATTCAGAAATGTATTAAATCTTAAGTGTCACTCCCATGAACCATCTGTAATCATTGCAGGTAAACTGAGGGCCATCAACCCAGAGAACGGTTTCTTCGGCGTGGCCCCTGGCACCTCGGACAAGACCAACCCCTACGCCATGGCCACCATCGCCAAAAACACAGTGTTCACCAACGTCGGTGAGACCAGCGATGGAGGAGTGTGGTGGGAAGGACTTGCCCCACCTGCCCCCGGCGTCACACTCACAGACTGGCACGGCAAAACCTGGAAGCAAGGTATTATCAGTTAGAGGGAGGTCATTAAGTTTAAGTGTCCTGGTTGTAGTGCAGCTTTACTGACAGAGATATCCTTCCACCACATGTGATTATTAATAGACTTATCTGCAGACCAAAGAAAATGGATCTGCTTCATTTAAAGCGGCAGGAGTAGGAATCAGTCTTTCTTAAAGGGCAGACTATCTCATTAACTTAACAATAAAATTGTTAGCGTTTTTTGGTTTGCGGTGAGGATCTGACAGAGTTAACACCATGGTATTCACATGTACTGTCGGTGTAATAAAATATTGTCAACAACTTACCCCAAACTCTTAATTTCCTCTTTGTAAACAGGAAGTTCGACTCTTTGTTCCCACCCCAACTCCCGCTTCTGCGCCCCAGCGGCTCAGTGTCCCATCATCGACCCCCAGTGGGAGAGCGAGGAGGGGGTCCCCATTGATGCCATTATCTTCGGAGGCAGGAGACCAGAAGGTTAGCACTACTTCTTTATACTTGTTTTATTTATCACTTTTAACAATGACATTTTTGCTTTGTGCCTTTGTTTCACCGTGACACTTGAAATTCAGATTGTTAGTGTGGGGAAAAAGAGGGGTAGAGACATTCATTCAACATGAATTAGTCGTGACCAGCAAATAGGCAGTGTTGAAGTCACAGTAAAGATATTGTAGTTAATGAGAGAACTACAATTAGAACAGTAAATGTAATGACAGCTGTCTATAATTTAGAAATATTAATGTTTTCTTAAAAAAACAACATGACCATGAACTAAGTTGAAGAGATGTAGATGTTGAAGAGATGCAAACAAGCTGGAGTATTATTTATGATCCTCATTTTCATTGTAATGTCAGAATGAATTCCTTTATTTTACATCGTGAATACCTGATACCTATAGTTATCATATAAAATATTATATTTTGTCAGTACAGTGAAATTACAACATTGAGTCCTTCCTGACTGTATTTTTTTCTTAGCAATTTATTAAATTTTTAGTAGCAGTGTATTGATATAATGTTTGCTTGTGTAGGAGTCCCTCTGGTCTACGAGTCTTTCAACTGGCAACATGGCGTCTTTGTTGGAGCCGCGATGAGGTCTGAGGCCACGGCTGCTGCTGAACATAAAGGTACAGACTCACACACCTTTATTAATTCTTGTAAATGTAAAAAGGCTTGTTTTTTATGGTTTGTTTTTAAATAATTAATTGTATTGTAGAAATCACTTGTATGACAAAGTGAAGATAATGGGATGATAAAGAAGTTGGTTCTAACCATTACTAAATTTAATTCTTGATCAGAATTATAAGGCGTTCTATGTTTTCCTTCAGGTAAAGTTATTATGCACGACCCCTTCGCCATGCGACCATTCTTTGGCTACAACTTTGGCGACTACCTCGCTCACTGGCTGAGCATGCAGAGCCGCAAGGCCCCCACTCATCTGCCCAAGATCTTCCACGTCAACTGGTTCAGAAAGAACCCCAGCGGTGCCTTCCTCTGGCCCGGCTTTGGCGAGAATGCCCGCGTGTTGGAGTGGATCTTCAAGCGCTGCAGCCGGGAGAGAGAGGACGAGGCGGCCAAGAAGAGCATCATCGGCTGGCTGCCAGTAGATGGCGCCATCAACACTGACGGCCTGGGCGGCAGCGTCGATATGGGAGCCCTGTTTGATGTGCCCAAGGCCTTCTGGCAGAATGAGACCAAAGAGCTGAGATCATACTTCACGCAGCAGGTTGGAGCTGATCTGCCGGCTCAGATTGGGGCTGAGCTGAAGGCACTGGAGGACAGGGTGCACAAGTAAAACCATCGTGACGACACAAACGAGGCGGTCGTCCCTGGTGACACAGGATCACATCATAATGGTGCAATCAGAGTCACTGCCTGGGTTTATACACACACAGAGAATGAAGCTGTGAACAAGGTTAGCTCGGCAAACTAGCTCTGGTTTGATGCATATAAACATGAATTAAGAATTTGTTTGACGTGCTCAACTAAAAGATAAGACATTTTTACAACGTAGGACTGAAGCTGAAAAGCTGAAAAACATGGCAGCCCATCGTCATACCTCTTTCTTGACTTAGGACTTTAAAGGTAGACTTGTTTAGTCACCGGTTGACAATGAAGGTACACTTAGAAAGACCAACACTCAGGCCAGTATTTACATTTCTCTGTGTTTGAAAAACACAGTCAGTGACTCTTCTTGTCGGGGAGAGAAATCAGTTAGGAATTAATTTGGGGGGGGGGGGAGTTAATCTACAATGCAATATTATGCCACACTGAGAGACTGGTGCTAGGTCTGTGGTGGCAGGGAGGTCTGACTCGACATGAGTGATTTTATTTCCGAAGGTCAGAGGAGCTAATATCCCTCCCTCCATTCACACACACAATCTGTCGCCGTACTGGAGCGCAGTCATCATGGCCCACTTGTGCCTTATTTAGACTTAACAATATATTCCAGGCTGCTAATGTTTACAGGCTAAAGCACAAACATCTTTTTAGGCCAAATTTTGACCAAATAGTAGAAACATTTTTATCACATAGGTTTTAAATGCTTTAAAATGTCCTTAATTTTAAATTGAGGGGGAAAAACATATCAGAAGTTCATTAGCTGCTCAGCTTATTTCCAATGGGCTGATATTTACTATGCATCATTCATTTGGCCACTTTTGTAATGTTTAATGATTAAAGTGTTTGATTCCGGATGACATGTGAAATGTTGGACCAATAAATGCAACTGAGAGTGATATTTGTTGAAGGTGTATGCCGAGGTTCTTTACAGTGCAATGAATAAATATGTTCACACATGCAGATGACGTCTCCTATTCATTTTTTCTGTGAGTGAAAATTTGTAAGAAAATCTGATCCAGTGATAGATGAGCATGTGCTATTAATATTCTGAGTCAGAAAAAAATCGGACTGAATATCAGACAAATTACATTTCTACGTTCAATTAAAGTACTCTGATGATTTGTGCAGACCTGCGGGTCTCATTCATTTTCACGCTCATTGAAACTTCAGTTTGCTTCTTTCTGGTCATTAGTACAGATAAGTTCTTCTTTTTAGTAATCACACAACATCTGCTGTGTGAGCTCAGCACACAAATGATCTGCAAACTTCAGATACAAAAGCTGAGAATAACAGGCTTTGCTTCAAGTTACAAGCCCTAATCAGGCTAATTGTCATTTCTGAGGTCCAGGTGAGATTATTGTTAATCATGAAGTGGTCATGGTTTAGCAGGAGAGAGAGATCTGCAGTTGTGTAAATGTTTTATTTGTAATTATCAGCAGGGATCAAGAATACTTTTATTTTTTTGCACATATACTTCTTAAAGACTGTTGAACATGAGATGTTACCTGAACCCCAGTGTAGTTGTACATTCATGATATGTCTCAAAGATGTCATCATCATTATACAGCATTTTCTCCTCCCCGTCTCAGTGAGAGGAGGAGAAAAAAAGAGCAGAAAAAATTGCTTTTTTTGGTCAAAGCAAAATGAAATGAGACTGTAAACATAAACAATTTACTGACAAAACAAGAACAGTTAATTTGTCACATCCTTCTCCGCATCCTCCAAGTGGACCACGTGCTTCTCCTTCTTCATCAGCCTCACTCCTATAGAGGGGAGGAAAACACAGGTGGTCAGTGTCGAAGCGAGGGACCACTGGAATGTTTCAATGCAACATCAGGGGCAATGATATAAATACAACTTAAGCTGTTATAAAGACCAATCAGGTCACCCTTTTACAACAGTGCCCTTCAAGTCACCTGTTCCCTGATGTAATACTGTAGGAATAATAACAATGAAGGGAACTTCAGATTTAATAAAGAGTGGAGTTAAATTAATTAAATCCAGTTTGCAGGTTTGTAGCCAAAGCCTTCATTCACCACACTGTACAAAATGCACTTGGGTTTGGCCACTAAAGGGCAGCAACCACCTTATTCAAATGAAAGAAATGTGACAGAGCCTACTTCAGTTCTTGATTATACAAGGAAATGTAATGTAATACAATAATTAGAATACATTTTATTTGGATTGCTTTTATCTAAAGAACGTTTCAAAAAGCTGATTTAATAGAAGACATTGACACATTTAATCACATACATCATAAAATATACTGTCATTTGTAATATATATATTTATTTATTTTGTTGAATTTTTTATTTATTTCACTAAGCTCTGTGATTTACACAGAGCCCTTTTCAAACATATCGACAGGCTCAACATGAAATGATAAAGACTGAATCCTCCAAGAAAGTGCCACGGCTGATAAAACAAGGTGAACAACTAATCTGAAGGATCGGTATTTCCAGTCCTTTATTCAGCCTGGACCTGCTCAGTAACTTGTCACCTAAACTGAGATCAGCCTTCTGACGCCATATGTTCCACACGTCTGCTCTCCCATTGACTTTCCACACTGGCTGAAACACAAAGACCCCAAGGGCCAACGTAACCCCAGACTATTGATAAGGAGGGAGGGGAAATGACGCTCAAGTCCACCACCATTCTGCTTTGCACAGAGTATCCACCAAACACATTCTCCCCCTGATAGAATGCCTCCACTTTCAGAACAGGAAGCTGCAGTAAACCTTGCTGGCATCACATGAATAGTCAAAGGCGTGAACAGCAGGCCACCGTCATTACCCATACACCCTTTTGCTTTGGTTTGCAGGAAATCAAGGTGAAGCCTTGTGTGTCTTTATGTGTGCATGTGTGTGTGTGTGTGTGTGTGTGTTCATCATGACCTGGTATATGCGGAGGAGAGTTGAGGACAGGTGTGTCCTTTCTGCGAGGTTTCTTCAGCTGGTCTTCCTCCTGATTCTCTGCACAGAGAGCCTCGTCCTTGTCTTCATCGTCCTTCCTGTCCACCGAGCTCTCCAGCGCCCCCTGGTCTGTCACACAGGACAACAAAGCATTACTTAGTCAAATTCAACACAGTACAGATAGATTTGTATAGGTGAAAGGACATTAAAGCAACACTATGCAACCTTTACTGGGCAACAGCCCCCTCTGCAGCCACAGGTGGTGATTATTTAATTAATTCTAAATATATAGAGTAAGAACAGATGTTCAGGATGCATCTGCAACATCTCCCACTTCCAACTCAGTGTTCCATTTTGGTTTTGAAACACAGAGATTATCTGATGCTTTTTAATTCATCCATTATCAAAGGAAGTTGTGTTTGTTTCCCAGAACTGAACCTTGTAGATATACAACATTTACAAATGTATAATCATCCATCATTTATCTCTCCTTTACTCCTTTACTCTCAATCTCCTGACTTTTACTGTCACTTGTTCTCCATATTCTTGTTTTTTCCACTGTACCTCCAGTCAGTATGATATTTATATATTAATACAAATGTGATTACTATTATTATTATTGTTGTTATTATTATCTGTCCGTGCTCACATTGTTTGCTGTCCTGTGTCATCAGTCGATGTTCAGGTTCCAGGGTTGACCTCATACAGCTAGTCGTCATCTCAGGTCCTCTGGGCTTTCTGCACAGATCACATAACACACACACGCACACACACACACACACACACACACACACACACACAGCTGTGAGATGGAGAGGAAGTAAAAGCGTGCGGGTTGGACAGAGGAATATCGTGTAGATAGGAGATAGGAGACAAAGAAAAAGACACCTCCGTGTGTTTGGTTCAACATATACACACAGAGATGGACATTGTATAGACGTATATTCATATTCGGAAGAGACTTGACTTGAAGTACTGCAAACCTTAACCATTTAACATGTCTCCAAATTTAATGATTTACGTTAAAGGGACTTGCTTTTTGTCCCTATGTGGAAGACAAGGCCCTGTAACACACACACACACACACAATCCAAAGGAGAAGGTTCCTAATTTTTGTCTAGTAGGTATTTTATTGTTAGTTGTATTTAATTTTCCATTAGACTAAAATGACAACTGACATTATAGTGACACTGAAGAAAACCAGGAGTAAAAACCATATAAACAAAAGTGACTGCAGACAGAAGCAAAGAAAAAGACAACAGAAAGAAAAATACATGAGTTCATCAAAGTAAAATAAAGACAGAAACCATTAAAACACATAAAGAATCAGAGCATGTTGTTTTCCTACCTCAGTCTCAGCAGTGTGACCCAGACAGACGGGAGCAGTGTGACTCGGGGTTATGAAGGTTGGAGGAGGAGCATCCTCTCCCATCTGCACCCATTATCTGCTACAAAGACCCTCCCCTCCTCCTCCCTGTAGAGGAGCAGCTGAATATCAAGAGATGTCTTATGTCCTTTTGTCAGCAGGGATGAAGAATACATTCATGCAAAATTTACAGTAATCTTAATAGTACCTAAGTATCTAGTAAGTAAAATAAAGGTGTTGATATTTTTTAGGGTTGAAATAGACAAATACTTGAATGTCCTCTGCACAGAAGTGATTTCATATATCTTTAAAGTTTTCTATTTCTGACTCAAAAGGAAGTTTTGTACAAAACAAAGTATATTGTTCTAGATGAAGCAGTGTGTTGTGTAACCACTGCCCCTCCCTCTCTGTCTAAGTTTTATTTCTAGTGTCATTGAGAACAATTCATTTTGTAGCATGTGGAACAGAACAGGAGCAACAGATCAGCTGTCGTCACGTTCTCTCTATAGCAGGTGAGTTACGTGAGCAGTTTCCTACAAATAAAACCCTTGTGACGCTCCACACACACCACCGCCTTTTGAAGTCTTGCTGAACGACTGCTCTCTAGTAATTGAACCGGCATCCTTCACTTTGAAGTGTGTGCTGTTCTTCACCACAGCTTTTGTTCCCAAACCTCGTCTGCACCATGACATCATTGATGTGTTTTAGACAATTAAACAAAGACGCAGAGGTTTCAAATAATAAACTGTTGTTTAGTGGGTTATTTGTAGTGGTATTATTCACATTAAGTACAGTGCATTCAATGTGCAGATGCAGAGTGTGTAATAATATATATTACATTTATATTTACATATTTTAACCTCTGACATGAGTATTTTGATTATTGACAAACACCCTCGTCTATGTCATTACAATTTCTTTTGTTTCTGGTTTGAGGTCCTAGGATTATTTTACCCAAAAGACACGTCTGTCCATACATAAAGCATAATTAAGCTCTAAATGATTCAAAATAAAAGTTATTGTGTTTATTTATTAGATAGACTATATACAAAAATTGACAACATGACAGCCCTCAGTGTCTCAATCGCAACAGAACATGTGATAAATCCCACCTCCTCCATGTAAATAGATGGGACATGGACCAAGCTAAAAAGTCAGAGTTGGTTTCTGTCATTTTGGTCGTTTTTATCAAACTGGTGTTTGTTTTCAGTTTGTGATTTAATGCTTTAGAAATTAGGTGAAATTTCATGATTGACAGAGACTGAGACTGAGTCATGATTGGTCGATCACATATATTCGACCTCGGGCCCTCGAAACCTCAAAATTCATACTTTGCAAGATGGCAGCATTCGATTGATGGATATTTTGGCCATATTTCTGGATTGTGGGAGGAAGTGGAAGTGCATCGTCCATCGTTATATACAGTCTATGACTTTATTAAACATACAGGAGCCCTGGCACACATTGGTCATTAGTTCTATTTTTCAGTTGCTTCTGCCTCACATGAACTTGATTCTCTATCAGTCCTACATTAGTGAGTTCAACATCAAACTACATCGGTTCAGAGAAACAGCCCAGGTCCTTGCAGCTACTCTCTGATCCAGAGGGAGACTGTCTGGGCGAGTTCTCGTTCCACGTGCTCCAGGAGGAGATGTGGTCGCTCTCCACATCAGCTGAGGTCCAGGGCAGCAGACAGCACTGAGTGGAAACCGTCCTGTTGGGGCTGAGGCCTGATGATGTGCGTACTGCTCCAGGTAGAAAGAGTTGAGAGCACAGGAGAGACTGCTCATCCAGGAGTCTTTGCATCTTCTACTTAAAGACAAGGGAGAATTAGGAAACGTTCATGTGACACAAAAGTGGTAAAACAGATCATTAGTAAAAAGAAAACTTCTTTTCTCATACGGGACAGAAAGACTGAAAATTAAGCTGTTTTCAGACATAAACTTCAGGAAAATAGGGTCTAGGCATTTTCCAGAGTTTGCCTTTCACATATAAAGAACACAGGAGTTGATTGTCTGAGTAAGGTGTGCTCACACAAAGAGAAACTGTCCGAAACATTCAGGTGACTGGGTAAAGAAAAATAATCTTGTTAATGACAGAAACATTTATTAAGGGAGAACTCAAAAAAACAGGACAGGAGAACATGCTACACACCGAAAGGTTCAACATGGCCAACTGGTTCAGGTAGGTGTGTGTGTGTGTGTGTGTGTGTGTGTGTGTGTCTGTGGTCAAATCCAGTGTGTTACCTTTTTTAAGCTGTCGTCATAGTGATGGGTGAGTTGATTCAAATGCGTTTCCAGCTCTGCAGCTTCCTGCTCCACTGCTTGTCTCAGCACCTCCAGGTCCTGAATCTTCTCCCTGTCCACACACACACACACACACACGCACGCACGTACACAGACCAGGTTCACTTCATTAAACAACACCATTATCGTATGATTTATTATATGATGCCATACATCCTCTTGCTAATATCTTTGACTTAAGTGCACATCTGTCCCAAACAGAACATCTGTGGCCCAACAAGTGATAAATAAAGCATTATGGACAACAGCCTGCACATGTAAGTGTCCTACTGAATATAAACTGTATATGAACTATAGAGTACCTGTCCTGGTCAGAGACAGTGCCGTAAACTGAGGCCTGGTCCTCAGAAAGCTGCTCCTCCATGTTGCTGTGCACAGAGCGAAAGCGCTGCAGACACAGCATCATCTCCTCCAAATCATCCAGAGAGAACTGTGGAGGACATGCACATGAGTTATCTAGTGATAAAACATTTTCAGAAAATCACCTTTGGCATTTTATCTCTATTTTGTTGTTCCATCAAATGTAAAGTGATCACATTTTGATTCCATTCACCTTAATCTTTCAAGTATTTCACCATTAAGTGTTTTCAGATGGCTTTGCCAACATTTTCTACATAAAGATATATATTTTCATGCTTAGAATATGATAAGTCACAGTCACAGGTTGTAGCACAGAATGGATTTTGAGGAAAAACATTTTGAGGAAACAATTAAAGCATAGCGATATGTTGAAATAAAGAAAGCCTTTGTTTTTGTATGTATTTTCATGTAAATTGAATGTGAGTGTCATTTGTCAGATGTTGCTGTGTAACAGTGAATTCAGAGAAAAACACAAAAACTGAGTGTAGAAGACGAGGAGAGAGCTTCACAAGCTCCACAGGCAAATGAGACATTCATGTGTTAATGAGGTGTCGGCTCTGAAAAGGGCTCCATCTCAAGAACTATGGTAATGTGCCCAGAAATATACTGTTTGTATTTAAGTCCAAACATCGTGACTCACTAGAGGATGGACACTTCATGGCTCGCTCCTGTTTCTGCCATTGGTCAATGCAAAACTCAACAGCTCTGGTCAAAAAAAACAGAATCACTGACCAAAAGGGATGAGTATGGGCTTAGTTGTTTATTTGTGTTTTAATTGGGGCCTCAGTATTCAATCTGAAGCAACAGACGCTCACAGAAACGTTGTGTGTCATACAGACATTAATCAGCGAGCGAAGCTCTTTGTTATGACACATTCCTCCCAGAACCATTATTAAAACTTTCCCCAACCACACTCCGGTCTCTGCCCAGTTCTCCCACAACCGAATATGTCATATTTTCTAATATTGTCAACATAAAGGAAGGTTGGTGACAGCTGAATGCTTTTCTCGTTTACACATTCTTCTCTTGCCATTAGTACAAGTATGACATTTGATTGTAGCTCATATATATGATATGAGTCAGGAATTTAAATGCTTGTGTGGAATTTTTGCATTATCTTGATTTTGAATGAATATATTAAATTTACAGTTTGGACTTGTTTTCAATTGATTCAACTTTGAGTTTTTGAATTCCTGTATTATTTTGACATGTTTCGCCTGTGCCCTGAAGACCTAGCACCATTTTTGAATTGAGTTGAAGGAACAAACATGTTCTTCTTTAAGAAAAAGTCATTGCTCTTCCACATCCTTGTTTGTTTTCATCACCTGCCCGTCTGCTTTAAGTTGTTTTTTTCACTTTCTGAAATTTGGGTCTTCTTATATTCAAAACAAGACAAAGCCACTGCTAAGCTGCAGACAATATATATCATAATCTTATGACCACAACATCACATCTTGCAGAGCTGCAAACATTTCAATGTAATGTAAATTGAAACCTGAAAGAACACTTTAATACTCAAATCTCAACAGGGTGTGTCATTACTCACAGGGCTGTGCTGTTTCTGAGTACAGCAGGTACAGTGATGGTCATAGGAGCAGCAGCATGCCATGGTGACGGATGGATTGCCCTCCCAAAGATTCTCCGTATGTGTATTTCCATCCCTGTCCACCTCCTCCAGTCCTGTATCCACAGAGGCTGATGCAGTCCGGTAATATTTAGTCATCCCAGGGGAAATGTCAAATGACTGAGAGTCTGTAGACATCAGAGGGAACGATTGAGATGAAGAGAAGGTCAATGTAGATCTTTGTGTCATTTCTGAGGCCTTCATGGGCATGGTCACCTCACGTGAGTCTGTATCACATGATAACTTCTGGATGTTTCGTTGAATTTGCACGTCCGTCCATATCTGGACAGCACGAAATGGGTTAGATGTGTCCAAAGGGAAAACATTTGGGAGAGGAGAGGTGCATTTAGAGTCATCGACATATGGAACATCCTTCCTCTGGACAATATGAGAAGACAGAGATGAAGACATCTGAACAGACACCGAGCGGCTTGATAGCTTGAGGTCTGAGTTTGCAGGCAAGGATACGAATGGAGCTACAGCCATGGAGGGGGGTGTATCTGAGGACGCAGTTGTTTGTATTGAGTTCTGGTCAGTGCTTGTTGTTGCTGAGGATAACAAAGGTAAAGATAAAGTTTTGACTGTGGAAGAAGTTGAATCCAGAGCAGTTGAGTCGATATGCCACAAGGAATTCTCAGGAGATCCAACTGATGCTTCAGAGCTGCTTGACTCGTTGAGCTCATTGGTTGGATTCCAAACCTGGATGGGTTCTGCCCAATAGACCCGCCCTTCAGTTTCAAGCTGCTGAAAAAAAGCATCCACATCCACAGTTTCACCCTCCAAGCTGTCTACAGAGGTTTCAAACACCAGATCTAAGCTCTCAGTTTTGATTGGATCCTTTGGTTCCACTTCAGTTCTTCTGTGTAATTCTGGACATTTGTGTGAAACTGAATAACGTCTCTGTGATTCACTTTCTGTGCCACTGATTTCTCCGCTTAACTCTTCCTGTCTGGTTTCAGATGAAAACTCATCACACAGACTATAGGGGTGGACCTGTGGATCCATTTCTGTTTGGTTACATACTTTCTCAGAGGCTAATCCAAAACCTTCTGTCAGATCTGCAGAACTCTCTTTATCTGCAGTATCTTGATTCTGCACAGTGTCAACATGCGTCTCACCCTTTTCCTTGCTCCTTCTCTGACAGCTGCCTTCTGTGTCCAAAGAGAGCTGATCCATCATTGCATAAATAACATCTTGGACAGTAGAGGATGGAATAAAGTCTGTGTGATCATCATGGGAACATGATAGGCCCTGTCGGAGGATGGACTGCTCTCTTAGGTCTGATTTAATTCCAGGAGCTGAATCTATCAGATCTGAATGTGGATGTGATTGCGAGGATAGAGCAGAAAGACAAACTGGAGTGAAAGTATTATGAGAAAGGTGGGGCAGTGTGGGATAACCATCGTTAAACTTCAAGGAATTATCCGTGTCCAATTGAAAAGAGAGAGAAAAGGGTGTTTTCTCCTGTTCCTTTTGTGTATTGGTAGATTCTTCAGAGAGACTTATTCCATCCGAGTCTGAGAAAACAGAATCTTTTGACTTGTTTTCTGGACTCTGTGAGAAGGATTCCATTAGAGGGGAAGAGCCAAAATAGGATGGACAAGAAAAATCCAGAGGGGCAGAGGGAAGCAGAGATGAAAAGCTGCCGGACACAGCAAGAGAGTTTTCATGCCAAACCTCAGTCCATTCTGACTGTGTGTTTCCTGGACTCCCAAAGGAGGAGTCAGGCTGTGTAGAAGGCACAGCAATCAGGGTAGAAGGGGAACAATCCCAATTTGAAGAAATAAATGGAGGGACACTTGTAAAGGTAGCGAGGTAAGGGTATGGGGCATCCTTGTCTTCAGAGTCAGCTTGTATGGAGGAGGCAGTAGGGGAGAGAGAGATACATAAGGCAGCAGAAGTCGGAGTTGGTGACTGGGAGGGAGTTATGTGGTGTAACTCAGGTGAGGAAGAACGAGGATCAAGGTATTCCAATTTGGAAGATGAAGCAGGTGGAGACAAAACCTGATCTGGTGGTATCTCTATATCTGAGCATGGCGGGTCTGGTAAAGAACAGGGTGAGGAAAGGGGATATTTTTCAACACCAGACGAGATCAGAGATGGAGAAAGGGGATGAGATGAGGAGCTATGTTGGGAACTAGAAGAGGGAGAGCCTGGTCTCTCACCTCTCTGGCTGCCAGGGTTCCTCCCTGATGGATCTGGAAGACTCTGCAATCAAGCAAACAATACAGACAGTCAGAAAATTGTTACTGTATTTAATCATTTGGTGGTTGTAGTCTCTGGGCCTCATGTCCTATACAGAAAAATCCCTTTGCTATAATTGTTGCCTTTGACTTACTTCTTCCATTTCAAACAATTCATTGGCCCGATCTGGACTCTTCTTTCTCTCTAAAAAAGAGTTGTCTGTCAGCGGGGGACCTTCTGTCAGGTTCCCAGGTCTGACTGCCCTCTCTTGGCCATTGAAAGAAACCATTCGAGGCTGGAGATGAGGGTTTAGAACAGCTCCTTCTCCGTCTGCCAGAGGACTCACATCCTCCAGAAGTTCAGACTTGACTCTTTCTAAGGGAACTTTCTTTTCTCCAAGGCTGGGTGGAGGTTGCAATGACTCAGGCACAGTGTATTGAGCACAGGTGGAAGTAGGTGTGGATATTTCCTGGGTTTTAAGGTTGCGGGTTGGACAGAGTAATTTTTTTGATGCTCGTCTGAACAGAAGGCCGATGCGCCTCCTCCTCTCCCGGGCCTGAGGAGACAGGTGTTTTTCCATTGGTGCTCTTAGAGAAGAGGAGGATGACGACACCACCAAGGAACAGAATGTTGTCGTAACATGCTGGAGAATCTCAAGTTCTCTAAAACGATCTGAAAAAGAAAATTGGCTTAATACGATTAAACCCCATCATCCATGTATAACTTGCTGGAAGTTCTTTTCCACAGATAAAACTTAAACCTTGACTTACTGCTCACATCTGGGTTCTCCAGGTCCAGTCGATTCTTCTGGGCCTCCAAAAACACCTGGAGGCTTATGCCTCTCGCCTGAGACTGATAATTTATGAATCGAGCCGGAATGCGTCCAGACAGGTCAGGTTCGTCACGGCCGAAGCCCATCTCCAGGAGAAGCTCCTCTGGGTCATCCTTCCACAGGTTGAGTACATCCATCACACTGCCAGGAGAATGGCAATACAGCATTTCATGAAAGAGAGTACACCAGTCCTCTACATATCCAAAGCCTGATAAAGTGTTGATCTTTATTTAGTTTATCTGGGATATTTTGGCTCCATTTTTTTTACAAGGGACGAATCGTTCATTTTACTATCTATGGTACGAAATAATGGTCCTGGGTAGGGGTCAGAAAGTACTGAGTGAGTGACTAGAACACGTTTTTGTTTTTGCACCAAGAATTTAACAATAACAAAAGACAGAAGAACTCTAGTCTTATACAGTAGTT